TCTCTCCACCCCTCCCCCACTCACGCTCTGTCTCTGTCTCTCAAAAAATGAATAAATGTTAAAAAAAATTAAAAAAAATTTTCTAAAGGATCTTGTATTATAGCTACATGTGTACATTAAAAATAATTTTTTAAAGATCTTATTTTTTTTTTAAGTTTATTTATTTTGAGATAGAGCATGTGAGCAATGGAGGGGCAGGGAGAGAGGATCCCAAGCAGGTTGTACACTGCCAGCACAAGAGTCCAACATGGGCCTCGAACCCACGAACCGTGATATCATGACTTGAGCCGAAACCAATTAGATGCTCAACCAACTGAGCCACCCAGGCACCCCTGAAGATTTTATTTTATTTTTACTTATTTATTTATTTTTTAATGTTTATTTATTTTTGAGACCGAGAGAGACAGAGCATGAACGGGGGAGGGTCAGAGAGAAAGGGAGACACAGAATCCGAAGCAGGCTCTAGGGTCCGAGCTGTCAGCACAGAGCTCGACGCGGGGCTCGAACTCACAGACTGTGAGATCATAACCTGAACTGAAGTCGGACGCTTAACCAACTGAGCCACCCAGGTGCCCCTGAAAATTTTATTTTTAAGTAATGTCTACACTCAATGTGGGACTCGAACTTACAACCCTGGGATCTAGAGTTGCATGCTCTATTGACTGAACCAGCCGGGCACCCATCAAAATAATTTTTAAACAAGGCTTCAGAATGGTTTTATTATATTTGGTCACACATTGTTCCTAGCTTTCACCTGGGATTGCTTCAGATCTTGACTGGGTAGGCCTAGAAGGTTTATGGCCATTCTTCCTAAATATCAACAAACATGGTTTTTATACCATAAGTTACAGGGGCTACAAAAAAGCATTAGACATGCTCTCTTCCCCAAGGAATTTAGAAGCTTTCATATCTTCACCTAATAACATCAGTCTGTTGAAGAGTCAGATTTCGGAGTCACTTCTAAGCGTTTCCTCATTTCAGACTGCTGATCTCCCCTCAAAGCATCCATTCTCCCCATGCTAATTCTGTCATGACACGAATCATAATCTATTGTCAGTTTTTGTTGTCATTAATTTGCCTCCTTTACTGCTCTTTAGAGCCAACACTGTGTTTTTTATCTCTATACCCCTGATGCCTAATAATGGAACAGAGGATAATCAAGAAATCTTTTATTTTTTAAGTTTATGTATTTATTTTGAGAGAAAGACAGCATGAGCAGGGGAGGAGTAGAGAGAGAGAGAGAAAATCCCAAGCAGGCTCCGCACTGTCAGCGCAGAGCCCAACGCAGGGCTGAAGCTCACAAAACTGTGAGATCATGAGAGCCAAAACTGAGAGTCAGACGCCTAACCGACTGAGGCACCCCGATGATCAATAAATCTTAATAGATCTCCAGAATGTGATGTAAAAGATCCAAAGTGCTGTCTCCTCTGTCCTGTTATAAAGTCAGGAACCATATTATGTCTATATTTTCATACCTAGTGTGTAGCACGAGGTCTGGCACAGAGCGAACGCTCAAAAATTCTTTAATTATGTGTGCTAAGTACCAAACAGGTGTCAAATTACACAACACAATAGGTGCTCCAGGAGTTTGGGCTGTCAGGGCTAGGGCTGTGGAGGAATGCTGCACTGAGGGGTGAGATCTGGTCTGAACCTTAAAGGAAAGACAGAACTTAGCTAAGCAACAAGGAGGGAAGAATAGCATATAGAGATAAATTTAGGACTTTATCACATTAGAAGTATTAGGAAACATTGTGGGTTTTTTAATGTTGTACCATCATGTTCATGGCAGTTTTTAAAAGCTTAATTTGGCTCTAGTGTGTAGGATGATTTAAAAAAGTAACTAGAGGGGCGCCTGGGTGGCGCAGTCGGTTAAGCGTCCGACTTCAGCCAGGTCACGATCTCGTGGTCCGTGAGTTCGAGCCCCGCGTCGAGCTCTGGGCTGATGGCTCAGAGCCTGGAGCCTGTTTCCGATTCTGTGTCTCCCTCTCTCTCTGCCCCTTCCCTGTTCATGCTCTGTCTCTCTCTGTCCCAAAAATAAATAAACGTTGAAAAAAAAAAATTTTTTTTTAAAAAAAAAGTAACTAGAAGCAGACATTAGATAATACTTCTGGAATATTTTCCTTGATCATTGAAGTCTGGTTTTGGTGCCCCATGTAAGTGCTTCCATAATTCTTCCCCTGTCATAACACATGTAGACTTGGCTTTTTCCTCTATTAAACTAAGCTGCCT